CATGCCCTAACCTGTTACTAAGATATACTTCGTGTGAAAATGGGAGAACTAGAGCTAACATTCTCTTAAAACAAAGTAAAATTTCAAAAGAAAGGATTCAGATTCACAATCCTGAGATTTTTATAGTTTACTATACTGTCCACTGATACCCGTTAAACGTTATGACACAGATTCTTCCCTCTGATAACAAGATTTCTCAATTTCCCTTTAAGACAGGAGGAGTTGTGTGCAAGTATCCGAGGGCAGAATATAGACATCTAATTTAAGATTGGTGTAAAGCATCAGGAGACATTAGTTCTTCTCCCCAGCTTTATTACTTGCAGAAATAGAACAACGTGAAAGGCAGCAGAAAACGCAACCTGGGATCAAGAATTCAAGTCGTCATTGCTGGAACCATGAAGAATCTGTCATTCTAAAATAACTTTTTTCCCTTTTTTCTTTCAGAACAAGCATATGGATCTGGTGTCTACTTTAAAAAGAGCCCCAGAAACCTAATAGAGGATAATGAGCAATGTGACAAGGACCATCTTATCTGTGTATTTGAGGCAGAAGTAATAACAGGCTTTTATACCAGAGGTGGGCAATCTTACATTGTGCCACCAGACTTCAAAGTAGATAGTAAAAGTACATGCAAAATTGACAGTGTAGTAGATGATGCCCAAGACCCCACTACCTTTGTAATTTTTAACAGCAAACAGGCTCTTCCAAAATATTTGCTCATTTGTCACCAGATTCAAACTGATGGTCCAGGATCTTCTTGGAACAGTAGCAAAATGGCAGGTCGGAATGTTTCAGAATTCTCGGGTACTAGAATACCACCGAACCATGAGCACAGAGGCTCTCCCAAAACAAAGTAATAGTATAACCAACAGTACTGCAGAAATAGTGCCTTCTAGGCCAGTACTGGCTGAAATATCCACATTTGTATACAATTATAACTACATACAACTTTACATTGGAGTAGGGTCCTGAATACAGTTTCTAATTCTCTTATTGGTTAAAATAGCACAGAAGTTTTATTTTTCAATATGTATCCAACACTGTGCATTTTAAAAATAGAAACCTTAGTCGAGTTTGAATTCATGTTTAGTCACGGAAATTATGTTTTTTCTATAACTGAAGCAATGCCTTATCAACACAAAATAACACTGCAAAAGAATTACAGTGCTTTTACTTAAACATTTATTTACATTGTTAATTTGATTGTTGTATTTTGAATTTAGCTGGAATACCTGTCGTAAATACCATTATACCTACAGGATCCACATTAATCAGTTGAGAAGTAATGTTTCATAGCTTCTAATGATTGCCAAATGATTTTTATTGCAGATTTAGTAGCTAGTTTTGTTGCGGTCTTATTGAAGTAAAATAAACTGGCCAGAAATAAACCAACTTGTTGCCATGTTCTGATTTCTTCTCTCAACAGGGCATTAAACACTGCTGAGTGACAATATTCAAGCCTCCCTTACCAACCAAGACAGTGTTCAACATGGCTGCCTTTGAAACAGTTTATGGGGAGGTGTGTGTGTGTGTATTTTGGGGGGTGGGAATTAAATATGAGTTTTCCAGGCTAGGACTTACATTCACCAAGGGATCACAGATAGGTTTGTCAGGTTATACTATTACTTTATGGAGGGTCCCAGAACTTTAATTTGCACTCATTTTACAGAAAGACTGAAATGCTATACACTTTAAAGTAATAATAATATAAAGTCTCTCCTTGTCCATTTTACAATGGACCTGGATTGCAGCTGGAGCTACAGGTGCAAATATTTGAAACTAGTTCCCAGGATGGGATCTGCCTTCTAGTCTTCAACTTTGGGCCACAGGGCCAAGTTCAATTTCAAGCACTGCTTTACATGAATAATTTTGATTATAAAGATGAGCTTTCAACACATTAATTTATGTACTTGCATTTATACTAGGACAACCCCCACTGCCTGGCAAGCACTGGTGAGACCGAAAGCAGTTGACCAAATGTCTTTCCCTTGATCAGTTATTATTAAACAGTATACATGTGCTTAACTGTAGTGTTAATGTAAAACCAACTCACATGACAGATAATCAAGAAACAGGCAATCAAATAGTTTACCTTTCCATTTAATTTCCACTTCCAGACTGAAAAGAAACAAGGAGCTACGGACAAAAAGGTTTTTGTATTTAGATACCATTTAACGCAGTAATTATCAACCAGGGTGCCGATGCATACTGGGGTGTCACGAGATCCTTTGAAGGGTGCTGTTCAATTTTAGCACCGTTAGGTGTAGAAACACCTACACGATTCACAAGATAAACTCAGATGTTTCAAACAGGAATCCACAGGTTAAAACCATTCGGACCTGTTGTGGTCTGAGTTTTTTTTCCAACTGAAGAATTACTCTAATATTTTGTCATAGTCAAGAATACAGCAAAAGGTAAAGAGCTGGCATTTTCCAAGGCATGCTTTGAGTCTAACAGGGGCTGTCATGAATTTCAAAACATTGAGAGCCACTGACTTAATACAGCAAATGGGGTGATTTTTAAAAGGCATCTCAGCTGTAAGTAGAGCACAGTGTTAAGCTTCAAAATACTGTTGCAATGCTAACACGCAAGATGCATCAATGTTTATTAAAGCTCACTGTATCCCACAGTTAATTTTAGATGCATTATATAACTGAATTCATAGCACTTATCTGTAATGCTCTAGGCATACAGATTATTTAAATATCTAAATTAAGTTTTAAACTCTTTCCTGGAAACTTGAAAATATATATTTCCACTTTTCTCAGTCTTTCCATTTGATAAATTCACTTCCCTCATTTCTGCTAATTTTACATGTATTTCCTTTTTTCCATATACCACCATGAAAACAGGCAGTTCTAGTTTCAAAGTGTTATTAGCTAACTGTTGGCTTTCTTATTACTTATCCAAGTGTTTCATATTATAAAATTATCTTGCAAACTTAGGTTTACTTTTTACAAAGTAAATAGTTACTTGATGAAGAAAAATCTTACACGTTACAACATATTTCAAACTACTGAGATGTTTATCTTTCCTTACCCTGCACAGTAGACTCCTATATACCCTTATTCTTAAGAGTATCCTGAAATAACAGTATATATTTCCATGTAATTACATATATATGTATATCCAAATTTTTTATACGCATATAGACATTATATATAGCTATTCTTCATTCTCCTACCAAGAATTTTAAAACAAGCATTCAAAATGTGTATGTTAGAAGAAACTGTTTTCAATGAGAAAATGTAATGGTCCATTGCTACATATACCAGCTGTTTAAAGACTGTGCAAAGCAGCTTTATCAAGAACCTCAAAACACATTCAAAGTTTAAAAGCAAAACCAAGACAAAAAGTCAAATCTTGCTACTTATTTATTTCACATTTTGTTGTAGCAAAGTGTCCCTTGTAAACAATTGATTTCAGTCCACTTTGCCGTCTTCCCTTTAGTGTTATATATTTATACAATTTACAAAAAAACTGGCAATGTATGAGGTTGTATATAATCAGACAGCTCATCTGGTCCTTGGAGAATATAATTTCATATACACTAATTAGAAAATAAAAACAGCACAAACTAAATGTACCAAGTAGTACGTATTAAAATAATTACCACAGTAATTGAAAATCCCTGATCTTTATTTCTAACACAGCCGGATTAAAGAGAGGCTACTCCACAGCCTCTGGAATTTCTCTGTCATCCACAATAAGAGTATGAATGATTCCTTCCCTTCGCTTTCCACTACTAACAGCCTTAATGCAACAATCATGATCACCAACGCTGAAGTGAGTTTCTGTTCCATCTTCTACAAATTCACCCTGGGATAAAGGAGACAGCATGTCACAGAAAAGCACTAGTATGTTTATTAACAAAATGCTGCATAATAGCCTGATTTTCAGAAGCACTGAACACACACAGGTCTAACAGGCAGAAACCTCACATGATGTACTTGGTAGCTGAAAAGCTGAGACAAGTGGTAAGTATAAACCTAAAACTTCCCAACTACGGTTTGCTTCGCCAGGAATGCTGAGCATGCAGATTTTTTTTTTTAAACAGTCAAATTGAAATCTGGTCAAGGATTTAAATGAGCAGTATCACTGACATGTTCACTGCAATTAAAAACTTGTGTGCCTAGTTCAGCCTTAGTGTACCAACTGAAATCTGTGAGGTTGCACTGGTTTACATCATGGCTAATTCTGAACATAAAGTCAATTCTGAGGACCTGGAAAAGGACCCGCAGCTTTTTCATAGATTCATAGATTAAGGTTCGGAAGGGACATAGTAGATCTTCTAGCCCGACCCCCCGCCAGGGCAGGAGAACAACAAAAAACCCCAAAAAGAGAAACGGGACTCAAATGAGTCCAGCCAGGTAGGCATCCAGCCTCTTCTTAAAGACCCCCAGGGTAGGGGCCAGCACCACTTCCCTTGGAAGTTGGTTCCAGCTCCTAGCCGCCCTAACTGTGAAGTAGTTTTTGCGGATGTCCAATCTATACCTCCTCTCCATCAACTTGTGCCCATTGCTCCTTGTTATGCCAGCGGGCGCTAGGGGAAACAGCGTCTCCCCCAAACCCTTCTGGTCCCCCCTAGTGAGTCTATAGACGGTCACCAGGTCCCCCCTCAGCCTTCTCTTGTGGAGGCTGAATAGGTTCAGGTCCCGCAGTCTCTCACTGTAGGGTCTGCCCTGTTGTCCCCGGATCATGCGGGTGGCCCTCCTCTGGACCCTCTCCATGTTGTCCACATCCCTCTTGAAATGGGGCGCACAGAACTGGACACAATACTCCAGCTGTGGCCTGACCAGCGTCGCGTAGAGGGGGAGGATCACCTCCTTGGCTCTACTCGAGATGCACCTGTGGATGCACGACAAGGTCCGGTTAGCCCTGCCAACCATGACCTCGCATTGTCGGCCCATGTTCATCTTGGAGTCAATAATGACTCCAAGATCCCTTTCTGCCTCCGTGCTCTCGAGTAAGGAGTTCCCCATTGTGTAAGTGTGCTGCTGGTTCCTACTGCCCAAGTGCAGCACCCTGCACTTGTCCGTATTAAAACGCATCCTGTTCCTGTTAGCCCACCCCTGTAACCTATCCAGATCCCTCTGCAATCTCTCCCTCCCTGCTAGCGTGCTCACCTCCCCCCAAATTTTGGTGTCATCAGCGAATTTAAACAGGTTACTTTCCACCCCATCATCCAGATCGCTGATGAAGAAAGTCCTGCCTTAACAGTTTAGTGATTCTCACCTAGAGTACTGCAGCTCAGGATCTCCCTTCCTGACCACTCCTCCCTTGCCTATTACCCAGCCTCTCTGTAAGGAGACAAACCACATACTCAGCCCTGCGCAGCTGATCCTTCCCTCCCCGCACCACTCAGCTCCTGTAAAATGAGCTGAGACTAAACTGGCATCCGTAGCAGGGATGTGTGGGGAGTGGATTGCGGCTCTGCCCCGGGCCCTAGCCCCGCACTGTCACCTCCCTGCGATCCTAACCCTGGCCACCCATCCTGCTCCCTGCCTGCCCACAGCCCCATCCCATCCATCCTGCATGCAGTGGTCCCAGGCCAGTCTCCATAGATATCCACCTGTCCTCTCTGTCCAGTGCCCCCAGTGTTGGGTGCAGGACAAAAGGGGCCAGGGCTGAACAGGATCAATTGGCACACCCCCCCTACCCCCAAGCACCAGGTGGTGTAAACAGCTGTGACAGGAGGCTCAGTCAGTACCGCACCGCATGGCCTTCAACAACTTGCCAAAACTCCTTAAGTGGCCCTCTAGCCCCCAAAATTGCCTACCCCTGATCTGTGTTATATTGAACCTCATGCCTTACTTAACAATCAGTTACTGCTAATCCAGGAAGACTGAAATCAGTAGGCTCTATGATCCATATCAGACCCTGGACCATTTCGTCTGTGTCCCCAACTCTTCCTCTACAAAACACTTCAATAAAAAAACAGTGAACAGGTAACTTCATCTCACACTGTCTGAATTACGTATTTCACCTTTAGAAAACAGAAGCCGCTTTATCAGGAAACTATTTGTCCTAGACCATATGTATTTTAGTGTTCTAACTGTGAGAAATGTCCGTTTCAACTGATAAACCAGAATACGCATCTAAAATGAATGCCTTTAAAGTTACCACACACCACTGTTTCCATTTTTTTACCGTTGCACCAGACATCCATAGTGTCCTTCTCTGTAAAAATGGGAGAAAGAGAACAAGAATGATATGCTTCTTTATAAAACAGCAAGAAAATCCCAAATGTTTTGCCATCATTTAATTATAACTCAGAAATGATCCAGATCAATTATAATGCCTGGATTACAAAATTACTCTTCATAAAAAGAGGGTGTAGGTTTACCACCATCAGGGTCAAGCCACGTTGTAGAATAAAGCCATATTTTTGCTCGTCTATGACCTTTGGCTATAAGATCTGGCTTAATCTGAATACTATCTGATGTATTCTGAAGGAAAATATTTCTGTTGAATTGTTTAAATTTTTTCTTCACTTGCTGGTCATTAAATAAAGTAACACGTTCCAAAATTCAGATTGTTACCCAACTCAAAAGTAGCTTCATTCAATACCCTCACTTTTCAGACTCTTAAATCATCTGGAAAAAATGCACCATGTCTATTAGAAAACAGAGGTATTAAAAAAGCAGTAATTTGCAATTGTTGTTTGTTGTAAAGCATGGTTATGATCTTCCTACCCAACACCACCTCCCAGGTGCTTCCATTATAGGATTCACATTGAGACTGGCCTTCTCTAGGAGTACTAATGACACTGGGCCAAATCTTGCTAGTCTTATTTATGCTGTTTAAATAACAAAGGACTAGATATGGGATTAAGATGACCCCTTACTCAGATTCTTCTCTATTCCCATCCTATTCAAGCCTGGTGCAGTTTCTGACATTAAGGCACATGCTAATTTAAAATCTCATGAAAAGGCACAATTTGACCTTGGGAAAACACAGTATTTACTAAACAGTTATTTTGAAAAACAGGCAAACTTAGAACAACAGTCATCACCTTTGGTTAAGAGTTCCTGCACGCTGACTAATGAATCTTAAGGCCAAACTAACTAGCTAACAAGCAGGTATTAACATACTCCAATGATAGGTGCAGCTTAAAATTTTAGGTAGTTTAAAATAAGCTGCATTTCTATAACTAGCACCCTTTAGGTGAAGGGTACCACCAAAGCACCTTCTCTGGTTCCTTTCACCATGGTATCCAAGTGCCTCCCAATCTGTTTTCTCACAATATTCTTGTACATAGGGAAGTGATATCAACTCCATTTTACTGGCAGGGAGCCAGGGCACAGAAATACTAATAGCCAGATTTGTAAAGTTAAACAAACAGGGATTTTTCAAAAATGCCAAGAAATCTCAGTACAAAAGAACGTGGCCAAGGCTGAAGAGGAAGTCTGATATACTGGGGACTCAAACCCAGATCTGCCAAAGGCAAGGTTAGCCACTAGACTATCCTTTCCGTTAATGCAAAAACACTTATAAAATGTACATAAGACTATATAAAGCCAGTAATATGGACCGATTCAATACTTACCTAAAACAACTCTACAGTCGATACCATCCAAGCTTAATACCCAGGTATTTGTTGTTTTTGACCTATTCTCCATATACTTCTTGAGGCTTTTGCCATCGATCTCCAAGGTGTACTCATAGGCAAAGCCACTCACTGCATCAATGTTAATGGTTGCCTTTGCTTTTGCTGCTCCTACAGTAAATGTTTCTTTACCTACTAATTTGAACATCCATTCTTTTCTTATTTCTTCCTGAGGAATAAGAAAAGAGAAAAATATGGTTAAAAAAACCCTGAACATTTTAATTTCAGTGTCAGGAAGGAGGCTAACACATTGAGCCAGAATTTGACTGTGGGCCCAGAACTTGAAAAATGTAATTAATTGAAAAAAATAATACTTTGTATTGATACAGTGCTTTTGTTCACAGATATCAAATCCATTTACAAACATTATACATGTCTTTATTGCAATGTACTGCTTATTTAACAGGAAAATAATTTTACATTTGATCAACTTTATGTTACAAATGTAAAAAGCCTTCCTTCTGCTTATTATTATGTTTAGCTGCTGCTGAGCCCCCCAGAGGTATTTTGGGTACCATGACAGGGTCAAAGAGTCAGTCCCACCAAAATAAAAAGCTCACAAACAAAATGTAAAAAATAAACAAATTTAATAATGAAGTACAAAGAAAATGCAAATGACAAAACAGTACAGATAAATCATATCAAGCAAATTATTATTTATAAAAATGTTCATTAACCCCAAAACTATCAGACTTATTAAATAAATCTCCTATATCCTCAAGTTGTCAAAAAAGCCTCTAAGAAGTGGTCAGCCTGTCATGGTAAAAGGACTTCTTACCTACATTTTAGAAACTAATTTTCAAAAAGCACTAATCAGGTATATGGGCAAGTGGGCAATTCAACAAGAACCATGTATGATTCAAGATGGAAGAGTGAAAATTCTGAGGTGGACCCAGATTGTTATACTATAGTGCCCATCTAAATAGCAAAAGCTTTTACTAAATAAGGCTAAAAATATAAACATGTTTTTAATACATTCTACTCTAATTAATATTAATATACCTATTTCTATTCCCTATTTAAGCCACATTTTAGTTAAAAACCAGATCTAATCAAACGCATAAAACTGCTAAATATGATCTCAACAAACTTTTGTTTTCACCTGTGCTGGGTTGCCAACCCAAGACAATTTTTTAATTTTTTTACTGACAAGCCGTAAACTTGTTACTGAAAACCAAACTATTTTACTGACAAAACGCAAATGTAACCCTACTGCAAGGCACTGGACAAATGGGAGGTTCGCATTTTGGGTTTAACACCAACAATATTAAAAAAGTTTGGTTATCAGTAAAAAGTTTGCAGCTTAGTAGAAAGAAAAAAAATATTGGGTGGGCAAATATTTGACTGCAGCACTGGTTTTATACAGTGGTACTCTCTCTCTCAGGGGTCCTCTACTCACCCCCATACTCTGTTGCCCTCAACTGCACCCCACACTGTGCTGCCCCCCCAACCCATATCCCGAATGGTCCCACCTTCTTGCTGGTACAGATCCCCAAAGAAGGATTACTGTCTGCCACCCTGCC